TTCGGCAGGTTGACTTGCCAGCAGTGATATCTCCTTACAGTTCTGATAGTTGCTTCTGACACTTATCGTGAGAGACAGGCTACGAGATTTGGCTGGTTTGACCTTCATTCTCGCCCACCCGCGAGCTCATCAATCCTCTTCAACAGTATTGCCGTACATGCTGCTATGTGGACAATGATTGCATTGACGTCCATGTAGCCTCTTATCTCATCATTGATACACCCACTAATTTCGTCATCCATTTAACATCGGCCACAGGGCTTGCGTCGCCAGAGCAGGTTCAGAGGGCAGCTGCAAGATGTGCGCCACTGGAACGGGATCAAAGGGTGCCCGCAGTGCTTGTGCCACCAGAGCAGGTTCGGAGGTCGGCCGCAGGTCGCTGGCCTTGCTACTGCAGTCGTAAAATCTTATTTAGATTACATTAGTATTTGTATGAAAAGCACTTGTAGGCAAATTAAAATGTATGTATTCATAAGCCCTTGCGCAAAATAAGTCATGTGTCATTCTTATAAAATTCATTTTGATGTTTTTCAGGTGTGTTGAAAAGGAGAAGGGCTGTGGTTGTAACCATGATGGCTACTATTACCTGCCGGGTGAGGTGTTCTGGGCGGACTCAAAGTGTAAAGAACAATGTGTGTGTGATGCTGCGACACAAACGGTACAATGTAAGCTAAAGGGATGTCGAACTGGAGAACGGTGCCAAGTTGTGGATGGAGTCCAGGACTGTTATCCAATCAGCTACAAAACCTGCTCTGCACGTGGAGATCCTCACTTCTACACCTTTGATGGATTAAAATTTGACTTCCAAGGCAACTGTGTCTACCGGCTGGCCACTGTGTGTAAAAACGCTGACGGTCTTCAACACTTTGAGGTAACGAACATTACCAATAGAGGATTTGTTGTTGAACATGGAAAGTGACTGACGTCACCTCTTCCGTTTTTCTGTACTCTCCACTCAATTTCCCCACTATTGTGGATCTATGTGTAAATTCTAGGTAAACCTGGAAAATAACAATCGTGGAAACAAAAGAGTTTCCTATGCCAAAGTGGTGATTGTAAAAGTCTTTGGAAACACATACCAATTCTCAGTGGACTACCCATATAAAGTACTGGTAAGAAACACACACACACACACACACACACACACACACACACACACACACACACACACACACACACACACACACAGAATTTAAATAATGTGTGTATTTTTTTGCTGCAGGTGGATGGGCTAAAAAACTCTCTGCCCTTCTCATCCAATCAATCACTGGTTCAGGTTTACCGTAGGTACAGGCTGGCTGTCCTTGAAACTACCTTTTTAAAGGTATGAAAAACTTTCAAAAACAATTTACCGTTGTGGTACCAACATGTCACTTCTAATAAAAAAATCATTTTATCAAAGACCTACTGTGGGCAACATTGAAAGAAGAGGGACAATCCACAACAGTCGTAACTTGAAATTAATGAAAGTGGAATTTGCAAATCAGAAATTAAAAAAAAAACCCACACATTTGGCAAGCCACATCAGCTGCAAGTTTACAGATGCAAAAATTCCCAGGCCAAACTCCAGACATAGTCTTTCCAGTGTGTCCTGGGTCACCTGCAATCGGGGGAGAGAAAAGATTTGACCATTTTTGTTTCTTACCATAGGAGGTCCTGAGTTGCACTTTGTTTGGTTCCTCACCTGGGGCCTCTATTCCCTAGTTGACCCTATGAGGGGCATAAAGTCCCCAGCAACTTAGCTCTGAGGGTTACTGGGAAACGCAAACGCCTCCACCACAAAAAAGGTGACAGATCAAGGAGGCGGTTCTCCAGCGCAGTGAATTAAACAAACAAAAAAAGTGTTTTGTTTGAATAATCTTTTTTTTTTGTTCTGCAATTAATCCATGCAACCCAAATAGTCGATGTTTGCTTTGATGATGTGTGAGTATAAAATGGCGAAAATATTTCTTCATAAAATTTCTCTTTGTTGCATGGTTAGGTGTCTTTTAACTTTGCGAGTGCAGTCAGAGTGGAGTTGGCGACGAGTTATCACGGGACGACGTGTGGGCTTTGTGGAAACTTTAACGATAATCCTGCTGATGACTTGACGCTGCCCAATGGGATGCCAGCTTCCAATGCCAACGAGTTTGGAGTGAACCAGTGGGTGTCCAATCGGCCAGGATGCTCTCAAGAATGTAAGCTATCTACTGACTTTTGTACTCTCTTTTGTGCCGCTTAAGTTTATTTGAAAAAAAATACCTTCTAACATAATCCTAAAACAGTGTGTCTCGTTTGTGAACCTACATCAATGTCATTTTGAAGAATGCATCAGTTTTTGTGTTTATTTAAGCCTTCTTAAATGAAATGCACCAATCATTATGGAAATTCAGTTGGATCCTAAATCCATTCATCCGTTTTCTACTCCGCTTATCCTCACAAGGGTCGCGGGTGTACTGGAGTCTAGCCCAGTTGTCTTGGGGCAGTCGCTGGGGTACACCCTGAACTATTTGCCCGCCAACATATATATAAATATATATATTTATACCCACATACAGTATATAGCGATGCCGCATCATCAGTAGATGAATGAGGTAGAAAAGCGCTCCAGAAGTGACAGCCCATTCACCATTCATGCCATAAATAGAAATACTACCACAGTATACTATGCCATACGGATCTGTACCGTATGCCTTGATATTGCTCTGTAGACAGCAGTCAACCATATGTAGGGGTAAATGTCTGCATGGCTCTGCAGACAACTGTGAACCACTCAGCCAAACAGGTAGCTAAATACCTCTACAAGATTAAACCACACCAAGTCATCCTTGCAGTGTTAGGGTAAGCTAGCAGTCAATGGCACTAAACCTCCCATCAGCATTCCTGACAAACTAAAGAGGCATAAAGTTGGAAAAGCCTTCTCAAATTTACTCTGAGGAATGACAATTCTTTGTGAGTCATTCACACTAACCAGCAGCCAGTGAGTGAAATTCGAAAAGCCACCGCAGTGCAAGGGACAGATTTTCACAACTGCAAAGTACAATCATAATAAAACGTGCAGTGTATTGTCACCTGAGGGTTGCTGCAATATAAGATTAAATTGACACTGATGTGCTTCTGCTGACAGGTAAGGACTGCGCCCAGCCCCTCGACCCCGGCATAAAACCACCAAGCTACGCGTCAGTCTGTGACATCATCACGGCAAAGGATGGGCCCCTGGCCGACTGCATAGGCCGGGTGGATTCCAAGCAGTTCCGTGAAGATTGTGTCTATGACATGATGCTGACTGATGGCAAACAGGAAGCTGCCTGTGACATCATCAGTGACTATGTGGAAGAGTGTCAGATGAAGGGAGGCTGTGTGAAGTCGTGGAGGACAAGGCAACTCTGCTGTAAGTGCAATAACGCTCTTCTTCACTCACTACAGATACTTGTGTCAAAGAAAAAAAAAAGAGTGAGTTGCAATCTGTCTTTACCATTACTCTGTATGACAGGGATGCAGTGTCCAGCGAACAGTATGTACAGCGTCACAGCTCCTGGCTGTCCGCTCACCTGCACATCTCTATCAGCACCTGTTGAGTGTAAAACTCCACCCAGTGAGGGTTGCATGTGTATCCCCGGTTACTTTTTGAGCCAGGTAGGGGACTTTGGTGATTATTATTGCACGTAGCAACTCAGCCTTATTAGCATGGAAGAGTCGGACATATTCATTCAATGCTTTTGCTTTTTCCGCAAGGGTCGCTGCATGCCACTAGCTGAGTGCGGGTGCCGCTTCCGAGGTCACTACATTGAGTCAGGGGAGGCATTCTACCCGGACTGCCATCAGCTGTGTGTATGCCAAGGAGGGGTGGTGTCCTGTAAGAGGATGCCCTGCCGAAAACCTCAGATCTGTGGGGTTGTTGAGGGGTCACTGGGCTGCTATGACAAAAGGCAGTTATCCCTCCGCCATCGTGAGAAAAAATGATTCATCACACGCAGAACTTTTTCAGTGATCATAAGACAGTTTTAGGTGGGTTAATTAGTAGGCTAGACTACTATAACTTTTACAATTTGTAAAATTACTGCTATTCTTATTTGGATGATTAAATAATTCCGACTATAGTAAATGATGAAAGTATTCCTTCACCTTTGATGTGATAAAGTAATCACGGTTCATTTCGATTAATTGCATTTAAGACCCATGTGGTAATTGAAAACACGTTTGAACTACCAACACTTGAAAATTAATCTGTTAAATCTGATTTTACTGATCCATCCAGTTTCTCTTCTCAATATTAAACACATTTGTGCAGCATTTGTGGCGCGCTTGTGATCTATACTCAGCCTACAGATATCTGGATCTGTCGTGTGTACCATCAACAGCATTTTATTCATCCACTGGTCAACTGGTTAGCGCGTCGAGTCGACTTCTACGCTGTGTGGAGTTTGCATGTTCCCCCCGTCGCTGTGTGGGTTTTCTCCGGGTATTCCAGTTTCCTCCCACATTGCAAAAACATGCACCGTAGGTTAATGGAACACCCTAAATTGGCCCGAGCGAGGTGTGAGTGTGAGCGCGGATGGTTGTTCGCCTGTGTGCCTTGCGACAGGCCAACAACCGGTTCAGGGTGTCCCCCGCCTACTGCCCGAAGACAGCTGGGATAGGCTCCAGCACGCCCTTGTAAGGATAAGCGGATCGAAAAATGAATGGATGGATGGAAACTGACCTGAAGTGACACTTTATCAATTTGTGAGTTATTGTATTTAGTGACATGAAAGGGGCAAATAAATATGGATTAAAAACAGCTCTTAGTACAGTAACAACACCGTATACAAATTAAATAACATCTATGAAATACCAAAATACATCACATTTGAAAAAGTAGGATTTTAAATATTGCTTGAGTGGATTTGCAGCTTTGATTAATATCATAGCTGGTGAGTAACACACACACGCACACACACACGCACACGCACACGCACACACACACACACACACACACACACACACACACACACACACACACGTCCACTTGACAGACTCAATATTTTTCAGTAATTTAATTCCTGTCTTATTAGCAGAGTGCATACAAAGTGTGCTTAACAAATTGTGCCACAGTTTATGTTCAACAAAATGATGAAAGGTGCTCAAGAAAACAGCATAAGGTCAAGTCGAAACATTCAGTGCAACCTTCAAGCAAGTCCGACACCCGGCGTTAGGTCACAGTGCTCTAACAACATGCAAGACATGATGAACAATCTTTTTGGAAGATGCAGAATCAAAGATCAAATGTGCTTGCTGTCATTGGTAAATTGAATACTGTACTGTACATTTATCATCAATATATACATTTAGTTCAAGAAATGAAAACAGATTCGATGTGTTGGTGGGTCAAGTGGACATCACATCTGCCTCACAGTTCTGAGATTGGGGGTTTGAATCCAGGCTCGGGTCTTCTAAGTGGAGTCTGCATGTTGTCATTGTGCTTGCATGGGCTTTCTCCCCACATTTCCAAAACATGTTTCTTAGGTTTAAGGAGGCGTTTTAAATTGTCCATAAGTGTAAATGTGACTGTAAATGATTGTTTTAACAATATCTACCCTGTGATTGTCCGGCAACCATTTTGTGGTACCCCAGCAAAGAAGAAGTCGGGTGCCGCCGAGTACAGTGGGCCACAAATACACGTATATAATTCAAGCTGTACAACATTTTAAATATTAATTATTTGTTTATAATAACATTGATTTCACAAGTTTCACTCCGCAATCAGTTAGCAAACGTCTTCAAATTGGTGTACTACCAGGAAGGGAAACACTGCACTTGTCTCAAATTTCTCACTGTGGGAACAAGACAACGTTGTTATTCTTAAAACATTGTCTGCACACGCACAAAAAGCAAAGCGGATTCTAAAATATGAAGGGGTCTTTTGATTAAAAGCTATTAACCCATTTTGCTTTATCTGAGAACAAAAATTGCAAAACCTTCAAAAATAATTCAATGGCTCAACTTGAACATGTTAAACAAACAAATCCTGTATGCACACAATAATATGGAATTGCGAGATTGTTTTTAAATTTGGCCTGTGTCAGAATACGGCTGTTGATGCTTATGCTTTATTAAAAATGAAATATTTAAAGTATTTTTGCTTTAGAGCATCATTAGCCCAACTCCACGGCCCATAATTCAGAAAAAATTTTTGTATGTATAACTATTTTGCATACTGCTTTAAAACAAATGGAAAAGGACATTTTTTTTTTCTCATGAACATGAGTACATGGATTGTCTTGTTTGCGAATTGTCAACAATGTCAACCCCGCTGGAGCAAAACCAAGTGCAAATAGATTCAGTCAATTTGTTACAATAGCGTTCACAGAAGGAAACAAGGCTGAAATAAACCGATAAAGGGACGTATTTAGTGATGAAATAAAATGTTAAACTAAACATTTGACAACATATTCAGGACGTGCAGGTCCATGGCAGCATATTTGGTTCCTTATTTAAGAATGTTTCAATTGGCGGTCAGTTTGATATGCTCCACTCAGCTTTCAAGCACAAGGGGGTTAACTGCTGCTTCATACTCGTCCTTGCTTTTCTGCTTTTTTTTTTGTTTTTTTTTTTTTACAAGGCGGTGGTTACCGTTAATGTATTTTGCATCACACCAAAAAAACACATCCACAGATAAATGACACGCCCAGCATTCATTTGATGCATTTTTGATTTGTCTATTGCATTGTTTTGGGGGATTAAAAAAATAAATAAAAATCGAAAAAGATGACCTGTGTTGGCTGTGCGTGTTGTCCCAAGTCCAAGTCGGGGCAGAAAATGTTCGGTAGAGTGTTTAACCCTCGAGACATCTCAAGGGCTTTGGTTGCCGGGTTACCCACAGGGCACGTCTCCTGGAGAGTCACTGTCATCAGAGCTTCTGACTTGGTCAGGATCCCTCAGGCCAACCAAGGTCATGTCCGGCTGAACGTCCTCCTCATCCAATTGCACCACGGGCTCATCACTGGACTCACTGAGGTCACCGTCGTCTTGAACACATTCAGAGTCCTTGTCTGACGAGTGGTTTTCTAGGTCAGGGACTTGGCTCAGTGGGCTGCTTAGGGATTCCAATGAGCCGGTCGTGAGGTCTGGACCTGTTTGAGACGACAAGTACAATTAATCACACTCTATCGGAGACAGTTCTGCTAGTTATCCATTACTGCATGACTCTTAGATGACTGTTGAAAGTATGCAAGTATGTATTGTACGTGCAGTATGAGAAACCATAAGATAAAGTTGCAGGTCTGGAAAAATGACCATCAGTGCTGTTTGAAATGCGTGTTGCAGAGTGCATCACAGCCTTGTTTCGGGGAGTCTTTTTATGCCCCCTGTGCATTTTAACGACTACAATTTTCTAGATCTGCTCCATAACTGTTATGAGTTCTTCAGAGGAACTGACTGACCCGAGGTGAGTGATGATCCAGAAGTGAGGTCATCGCCAGAGTTCAGGAAATCATCCAACGCCTCCTGGTCCGAAAGGTTGGTAACAGCCATCTGATCCAGAATGACCGCATCTGCTTCTGTTGGTTCTTCAGTCGTACACACACACACGTGGCCAATTCTTAAGACACTGTATATGAAGCAATGCGGGCGATCCATTTGGGCACATAAAACATGCAACTCAAGAGTGCTCAGCCATAAAATGTTCACCTCTGGGCTGAAGACAGCCAGTGGTGCGGTACTTCTCCAAGTCTTGGTTAAAGGCTTCTTCATAGACTTTCTGCCGTTCTCTCAATTTCTGCTGCCGTGCAAGCTCAAGCTTGGAAAGTTTCTGAGCATGTTCTGCGTTCAGATCCACTACAAACAGGGAAACACAACCATTGTTATCAACAGTGTTAATTTTATGATACAAAGGACTAACACTCTTCATGCATTGTATGGAATGTCATTTCACCTGTCACAGTTGTCGAGAGGGAACAAACAGCCCCAACATTATGGCCACTTTCACCGTCCAAAATGAGCAGAGCAATACAATGAGCTTGACCTTCATAAAGATCGTTACGCTCGGTTTTACTTCAATAAGCGTCCTGTTAAAATAAAATCAGTGTGACAGTGTCACTCAAAACCGAACTGACCATTTTTTTTTCTTTCCGGTTCTTCTATTGGATCTTATTAGATTATCTAAATGGTCATAATTTTGTAGCTGGCTATTAGCAAGTATGGTAGACTTGCACGGCTTTTACTAATGCTCAAAAGTACTCCAGTACTTTTCTGGAAATAGAAACAAGGAGCCTTTGGTCACAGTATGTGCAATAGTTTCCTCCACAATATAGAAATCTTCCTAAAACTGTACCACATACGCAAAGGGAGATTTACGCCCCCTTGGGTGATGTTTATGTCTTGCTCCATTTCATCAAAAATACTCCAGTAATGACTATGTAGACAATGGACATAGGCGGTGGCCATGTCTGGGCCAAAACAAAACAAAACAAAAAAAAAATGCAGCTCACCTTCCAGTGCCTCCAGTTCTCGTCTGTAAAAAAAGACAAACAGAAAGGTTGTCATTAAAAACGGATGAGTTTTGCATAATCAAAGTGAAAAAAGAACAATGGAAAAAGCTGAAATCAGCACAACGGAAAGTTTCCTCCTGAAGCGTTTTGATTTGTTGACGTTTTAATTGCTTATTATTGAGAGAGGTCATCGACAGGTTTGTTATCAACACAACTTCCTGAACGCATTTGGAAGACCAAGTTGTAAGCAAGGGCTCATCAGCGATGTACTTCAGTGCAGTATTTCCTATCAAGACATTGATTAGAAAAGACAAAAAGCAGGTGATGAAGCACCGACCTCTTTTTTTTCTTGTAGACTTCCAGTTGGTCCATATGATGCTGCTTGAGTGTCTGCTGTTCACACTGACAACATAGTGTCTCCAAGAAGATCAGCCTGCTCTCCATCTCCTCAAAGTCACCTTCCAGATGAGCTGCTCATACACACACGCACACGCACGGACGTTCTTCAACCAGCGTGGAACTATGCATGGAATGAGCTTGATATTTTCACGTGTAGAAGAGTAATTTTCCTTCATGCACATTGTCTCTTCCAACTCACAGTGCATTTTTCATTTATGACCTCATTATTGAAATTTCTCTTCATGTTAATTCTGATTGAGGAAAATAAAAAAAGCAAAAGGGCGTAGAGGGCCCCGACCCAAAACAGCTTTGGGAATATGTTTGAGCATTTATTCGATAGCCATTGTATAGTCCATGTACTAGTATGCTCTTTCTCACTAGTTATACAATTCCACACACTAGAAGAACGATTCCCGGTATGTCTTACTTGTTTTTTTTTTTCCATTACCGAATCACATTCCTGCACAAAGGTGAGGATAAGATAAAAATGAATGGATGGATCAATTTGTCATACTAGTAGAACAATTACATGTTATGAATGAGGCTAAAAACGTTTCACTAGCTGGCCTTTGTGCACCACGGGCACTGCTGGTGAACTGCTAGATGTCAATTTGTAGAATTGTGTCGTTTCACTTGTCATGCTAACACACAGTCAGCAGATTCATGCTTTTTGTCCTCGCTCCCAAGACATTGAGTCAAGTTTGCTTTCCCTCCCACCTTCCACTGCTGTGTGACATATCTGCACACTCGAAAGACAACTAGAGCGCAAGAGTACTTAAGCGTGGAAGAACATTGAACGGATTTCCATGGGCACGTGGCACCTATTGATGCAGTGATGGCATCAAGTTCGCAGATGAAAGCGGGCAAGCTTTGTAGTTGTTCCTGTAGTTGTGTCAGCGCTGATCGTCTCTTCTCCCAGTGCGCCGACAGCATCACCACGTCCCCGTCAATGGCCTAAACAAAGCCACAGAGAGGAGCAAAACTACTCAGCGACAGACCAGACCACTGTGAATAATTAGCACCCTCCAACTCGAATTTGTCAGTCAACGTGAGTTTCCAAAAACCTTCATCAGACAAGGCACGGTGTTTCCATGACTACATGTGAAGTATCCTTTCCAACATGGATGTTATGAGCATGACCATTTACTGGATACATGTCCAATATCTTTGAGCAGGAGTGTTTCCCCTGTCAAAACAAGTTCACGAAGCAATATTGTGTCATCTGTGAGAAAGAAATAGAGAAGGACTGAACATACCTCTGCAACCTGAGCACAGTCTTTTGTTTTTTTGTGAAGCAGAAACCAACTCTCCTCATACCTGCAAAAAACACATTTTATACTCTCAGCCCAAATCAAACAGTACCGTTGGTCTGATGGTCTGTGCGTACCTGCTGAGGATGTCGAGTCCAGCACTGGAATGAGGAAGACTTTCTTCATACCTGAGCAAGGAATAAGATATGTAAAAAGTTAAGAGCATCATAAACCGGCTCGGCATAAATATGTGAGGTTTAAAATCTCAATGGATATTTATCGTTTATCTATTACTGAGAAAACTTCAAAGAACGGATCATGTCAGCCCAGTGATTTGATGATGTGTTGTGACATAAGTGATGAGATGGACCATAACTGTAATCAAGCCAGCTTTTATTAATGAACCACACAGGTTGAGTCCCGCTATCTAAATTACATGTGACATAAGCATGAGCGATCCGCCCAATTTCAAACATACAGAGAACATGTTTCCAGGTGTTTAGGGCATGCGTGGCTTGATAGTTCGACACCCAGTCGGTTGTACACATATTGTGCTTTAAAACAGCACTTAACAGTTTTTATAATTCCACGTTTCTGTGGAAAAAATAATTATGGTTGCAGTTTCCTCATAAGGATAAAATGCCCAGAACAAGGAAAAGAACGAGTTACATTATTATTGCTCTTGTTCAGGATGCATTTGTGTAAACTTCTGAATCAAACTATCATTACCAAAGGGTTGTTTTTGTATATTGTTGCACTACGATTATTTCTTTTGCGGGTACAAGGTTGGAGAAAAGCATTTGACACCGAATTGAACTGACCTGGACCTCCTCCTGCTGCTGCTGCTGCTGCTTTTGGATTCTTTTGATTTATCTCCAAGTGTTTTCAAGCTGTTTGGAGGAAAACCAAATGAATTATCTAACACCAATAGTCTCAATAGAGAGATTATCATAACATTTGGTTGTTATACATTTTATACATGTATCATAGTTATTATAATAGTTATAATACATTCATTGTGTACTATTTAATTTACCGATTTGGGTCCCAACTCTTCAATGCCATGAATTGAATCCTCATCACTTGTGGCCCTCTTACTGCCACTTTATTCAGTGAAAGACTAAAGTAAGAGGCTTGTTTGCAAAGGTGAGTATTTTATTTTCTTCTGCGCAAGCCATTACGGGTTCTGAGATGTTGGCCTCTCTAACGGCAGTCGAGCGACTGGGGGCATCAACATCCAGGAACGAATCCAAACTAGCGGTCGTTTTGGGAACAAGCCAACAATAATTCAGTCAGCCGTGAGTATTTTACTGGAACTCTTGATCAGCATCTATTATACAAATTAGCGAGCAATTTTTCATGATGAATTTCTGTTTTTCATTCAAATTAAGTTCATGATTTTTTGTTGAGAACAAATCTATACTGGGACACATCTTTACATGCACAAATGTTGAATATAATTCTTTGTCTTTTTTTTTTTTAATACCTTTTTATTTCCAAATAGTTCTAGAGGTACCACTACAAATGGTGTTTCAACATTTAATAAAACAAACACTGATGGCTAAGCGCTCTACTTTTCTTCCCATTAAAAACGCTTTGTGTTGGTTAGGGGTTACTGAGCTGAAAAAAATATTTCACAGGGTGGTATAACAATGAAAAAAGGTTGAGAACTGCTGGTCTAGGACGCGTTGGTAGAATGACTAGAGTGATTACAATATTCCCATTGCCGGGCCCTGTTTATAGTCATTTGCATCTATATAGGGGGCGTGGAGAGGGAGGGATCTGGTACTTCAACATTTCCACATTGACATGTATGCAGCGAATGTGCTTGGATTCATGCGTACGCACTAATTCGTACATTGAGATGTTTTTGTGCATGCAATGTTTACTGCATTTGGCCATAGGCCGTACTTTTGTATGAAAGCCATGCAAGGCCCCAGGTAACTGTTTTGAAAAGTGCCACTCGCTGCCCCTTGAGCAGTGATTCCTCACTTTTTCCTCATCAGGTGTGTATCCAATTTCATTTAATTGATTCAAATTTACGAGAAATAATGTATTCTATGTCAGCATTGTATAGTGACAGGCAGACAAATTAATACCGTTCCACTAGATGGCAGAATGTACATACTTAAAGTGTGTGCAATGTTGTTTTTTTTTTTTTTTTTGGTACATCTTCGTTTGGTGGTGCCCTGACTCAATAAAGGTTGTGAAAGACTACTCCGGGGGCATATTTGGGAATCTGGGCACTGCTGCTGTGTGTAATACATACGTGTTACATTCCTTAATGTCGTTTCGCGATTATATTCCTCTTGAAACACATTGCCAAGGCAATAGGAATGTGTTCGCATTTACCCGCAAACTATGTACGCCTCCATTCTGCTAAACCTCCTCGACCCGACGTCACATGATCGTCAGCTGAGAACAATTATCAAGAATGGCGCACACCAACTAAAACAGCCCAAATTTTGCGTCCGAAAGCGAAAACGCAAATGACATAAACGCACCAAATCATTCGTGAAAGTTTGCCGTTTTCAAAGCTTTATTTTTTTAACATGCTCAGGAAACCAAGATAACGGCTCCTCGGTGACTTGAGGCTACTTCTAGTCAACTTTGCTTCGTGGTATTTAATGGAATGTCAGCTCATTTTGATCGCAATTAATACGCGCGTAGTCTACATCCTGATACTTCCGGAAAATGTAACAGAAAATCAAAGAAATGCTACGCAAATCAGACAAACCCCGTCGTTAAATCCTGTTGCACCATGTGAAGTCTTTCTCTGAAATTCTCGAACATGATGACACTGGTGTCGTTTATCTCCAGTGAGGCTGTCGTCCTCTGAGATGGACCCGTTTCACAGTATAGAACACAAGTGGCCCCTGACAACCCTGTTGTGACAGAAGCTGCAGCTTGTCTTCAGTTCTTCTTCTTACGTGGAAATTTAACGGCATCTGGAATCTATTACTGCCCCCTACTGTCTAGTCACGTTCACGGCTGGTTGTTGGCTGGATATCACACAAAATGTCACTCTATCCACTGTCTCTGAAAACCAACCAACAATTGGTATTCTCTACTTATAGTTTTAGATTATAATTACAAAATATAAAACACAATAAGATACGTCATTTACAGACTGTATTGGCCTCACTGTAACAAATATTTATCACATTTGCAAGTAATTTCACACCAGTATGGCATGAGAAAAAATTGAACTGCCCAGTCAGCAAAGGCATCTGGCCCGGCTCCGGCATGAAGCCGGCACAGCTGGCCTGGTGTCGGCAATGGCATAACGCATGTGGGCCGAACACGGCCCAGGCGTGGCAAAGGAGGCACTGGCTTGACTCTGGCAAACCAGATGAGGGCCGGTTGTGGCGTGAAGTATTTGGGCCAGAAATGTATTTCCAACTCCGGCCCGAATATGGCCAGCCAGTATTGAGCCACTCCTAAATGCAGGTT